TCCCTCGATTACCGGTTCGGGCGGAGCTCAACAGGGTGGTCTACAGTGGCGGAGAAATCAACGACCTCGCTGAACTCAGGCACCGAATCACGGTCGCGTGGCAGAATCTCTCGATGGCGCTCGTCCAGAAGGCTGTGGCGGAGTATCGTGATAGTGTACAATGTTGTTGAATATGATGGTGGAAATGTCCAATCAGAATTTGATAAAGTGTAACTTATCTATTGGAAGTCGAGGAAAAATAGTCTTCCCCCCTTTGTATATTGACATCGCCCTGTGAGAAACCCATTCTCTCCGTCATAATAAGCTACGCTTTGGCAATCCTCTCAGGGTCTACCGTTGCTATTCAAAACGTGGAGGCATACAAAAATATAGGTATAGAAAAGTGGCAGGATACCGAAAAGGCTAGGGCGTTGGCTTCTGTATCGTCCGGAAATAGTCTTTTCAGCTACGAGTTCGACAATCATGGCCGACGCGGCCACAAAATGTAAAGAGTTTGAAAAGTAACCTGGGTCATCAATTGAGCGCAACACAAGGAAAAGAAGTGGGCTCAAGTTGGCCGTGAACTCGAACAGATGCATAGAATGTGTCCTCCAGATAGAATGTGGAAGAATGGACACGAAAGGTCAAAGGAGGAGGAACGGAAAAATTTATGGCCGAGTATCGATTTATAATTTGCACTCAGCGCACGTAAAACAGTGTACAGAACGAAATGTTGAATGTTAGACCCCATAGACTGAATGATTGTTGAACTTTCCTGCGAGCACTACACTCCTGCTGCAACCGTTGGCCCGGTTGCGCCCAGAAACGTGGGATGGTCAAAAATGCGTACGTTTGGGTGATTCCTTAGCGAAACACAAACAAAACAAATTGGATGCCTGCGGAAACAATGTTCTCCGTCGAGACGTCAATGGCGACAACCAAGAAAGGATGGGTGAAACATAGGTGGTCCGGTAGAGTGGGCCAAAAGTCACCTGCGTCAGGTTCCAAAGGATGGAAATGAGGAGCGACGGAATGGCTTCATGAAGAGTTGTGTGGGCCCAAGCGGATATTCATCATGGTAGTAGTTGGTGCAATATTGTAACTTACATCGCCTTGAAAGTCGAGGAAGAAAAGTGTATTTTTTATTGCTCCCCACCCCCCCCCCCTGTATACTTCCCAGGCCCTCGAGACGCTATTGGTCGCTGCTGGACGCTGTCGCAACGTATGACCGCAGCCTTATCAAAGCTGGACCATAGTTTTATACTTGAAAAATTTCTTCTGTAATAGAAGGTTAAGTGTGTTGGAACAATCTAGACATTCAAAAGACAGGTTCCTGCGAAGTAACAAGTTTAGCGGACGTGAAAGTTGCCTAGAATTGGGCCCAGAAGGCTTGCTATCGTTGAAGCAGTGCGATAACTCACCCAGGTATGTCTCAGGTGGGCTACTTTCTGGCCTTGGGAAGCATTTGAATTCCCACATCGTTCACGAGAAACCTGCAGAGTGGGAGGAGTGGGTCTTTTCCGATTCGCCATCAGAAGCAGTAAAACTGTGTCATTCCCAGGAAGGGGTGGGGATATCTGCAATAATCAAAAAGTGTTCCTGAACCAAATATGATCACCTTCCCGGCGATGCGTGATCCCCCTCCCAAAAATTCCAGCCTCTGGCCTACCCTGGTCTGGAAGGGTACACCTCGACATCGCTGTGAATGTGGGCGGTGAACGCGCTGCTCTTCTCTGCTACGGCACGTTGTTGCGGTTTCCCAGTGACGGGGTTCGTAGTTGGTCGGTGGTGGGAAAGTGGGTGCATTTCGCAAAGTTCTTCGTCAACGGCAGGACGTGCACAGTTGGTGCCGCCGAATCCATACCCATCACAGAAAAGTCCATGACGTCATACCATTATACCTCTATCTAAAGTAACTGCGACTTGTTTTTTTTCAATCACGGAATGGAAACATACGGTTTGGAAGACCAGTCCCCGCTACCCTCAAATGCTCTTCGACAGGATAGTATCTGTCCGGCATACAAATCGGTGTCGCTATGAACTCGGGAACATCTCTACTGAGTTCCAATATAGCTATGTCGTTTTCAAAAGTGCAGTCGTCGAAGTCACCGTAGTATACCTAAAATTTACCTAGAACGCGTTTTGCACCGTAAAATGAACGGAAGTGCCAATTAACCAGACCTTAGACATTTTGAACCACTGCTTGGAGCAATGAGCGCAGTGGTTAGGAAACAGCACTTTCATTTCTCCGGGGTACTGACGAAGAGGGCTGAGCAAAAAACAGATAGAAAAGAAGGAGCAGATTGTAAAGAAAGACGGTAAAATAATAAACCAACGTTGTTACACAGTTTTCTCGGTCCGGCTTGTCATGGTTCACCACACAGTGAGCGGCAGTCAATATGTGCCGAGAAGAAATAAGTGATCCTGTGCAGTTACCACCTGAAAATAGCCAAAAAATAAATAATAAAATGTGAAAAATATAAAAGCAAAAAGTAGCAGAAAAATGATGACGTCAACAGCTTACATTCTATAATGATTCAAATCGCTGAAAGGCAAATGGCACGATGAATCCACAAGGCGTGCAGGATAAATCCACCAAGCAGCACAATTCAACTCCCTGAGCAAGCACTGCAGAGCGCTTCTTTCAACAAAGGTACCCCTATAGCGCCTTATCAAGCTGCAACACCCCGACTCGGGCGCCCCCCCCCCCCGCTTGCCCTCCCGCGATTATTCGCACAGTCACATTGACGCTGGTCTGCCACATGTATGTATACATGAGCCAGTCGGATCGGCCGGCTTCGCCGGACGACCTCCTTCGTTTCACTGCTAGTATATACCCCCCCCAGCGCTCCAGTCAGTGATGAGGAACCACAGAATAAACGGCACCAACCACTTGGTATACTCCCTACGGTTATCCCTTACTAACATCATCTGCCCAACCATTGCTCATTTTCACTTACTCCCCATTTCCTGGAGTTTTTCGGATGTATTTTGAGGGTTTTTATCCCCGGCACCGTTCACTTCGGCGCACGCCCTGCCCATCGTGGGTGTGCTTCATTCATTCCGTCCGCCAACTGTTTGCCTATCGTTTCCCACAATTTCCGCTCTCCGGGATCTTCTAGAACCGAACTACGAATTTTTGAAAGTTCTGTAGCGAGCACCGCCCACCTAAGCACACCTCGCATCACGGGTGTGACTCCCTCACTTCATCCGCCAACTGACTGCTTATCCTTACCCACAATTTCCGCTCTCCGGGATCTTCTAGAACCGAACTACGAATTTTGAAAAATATGTACTGTGCGCACGCCCCGCCCACAGTGGGCGGGGCTTAGCTCGGTTCACGTGTGTTCCGTACATCTTGGCCCATGCCCTACCCAACCCACCCTTGATCTCTTTTATTTTATTACGTCCCTTCTGAGCTTGGCTCTTCAGGTTGATATCCAAATTTCGCGGACAGACAGGCAGAACAGACCAAACAGACAAACAAACAGACAACAGAACAGACGTTGCCGTTTATATATAGTAGGATACTTGCGTGCAGCCGTACCTAACAAAGCGGTTGCTGGCATGATGCCAACGGGAAACCCGATGCTGAGTTCGCTTTTTGGCTACTTATCCCTGTATAGCACCCCTGCTACCGTTTTCGGGCAAGTATCGAATTGTAAGCCCTATGCCTTCAAGTCCAAGCGGCGGGCGGAACGTTATATGAGGATAGGTTGATAATCAATCCCAACATTTGATGAGTTAGGCTCTGTAGCAAAATCACTCTTACTTCCATCCACAGAATTTGGAGCAAGATCCAGCAGGACGTCGTGGAAAAGACCCCATATTGGAAAGAATCCTTCCATTGAGTGGGGTATCCTTTGTTTCCTCAGTCCTTGATAAAGCAGGCGAAATTCAAGGAACGTCGTGTGGTTAGGCTTTATATCTCATAGCTTTTGATCCTCGCGGACAATCTGGTACTGATTTCCTCCCCCTCCTCGTAGGGTGGAATACCTGGTTGGCAGGAGCAGTAGGCGCCTTCAGAATCCTGTAAACGCTCGGTGAAAGCGCTAACGTAAATCGGACTCCACAGCCGTCCTACGCCACAGTCCTTTTCCATCAGTGAAGAATAAGAATAAGAATCAAGAAGGATTAGAACTCACCATACGCCTTGACGATAGATAACCAGGGATACTGGTACTCTAAGAGTTTGTCCCCGCCAGTGGCTCTCCTGATACGTTTTCCTGCAGCACCCTAGCTACACTGCTTGTTCTTGGACTAGTAATGATCTTCAAAGTGTTTCGACATACTTAGGAACACTTCACCACAATTTTTCCGCAAGTCTTGCATTCTCCTCTGCTGTTAGTCTTTGGGAGTTCACAAGTGGAAGGAGAAGTAAACAAAGCCAAATGATCATCTGAACACTCCATATTCAGTGCAACCTGATCAACTAACGATAAGAAAAAGCAAAAAAAAAGGAACGCTTCACAGGTATTGGTGCACTTAAACCCCAAGAACGAGTAAGGACTTAATATGTCTGCAAGTACGGAACTCGGCGTAACGCTGTGCAGGCGCTGCGTAAATGGCCTTTCCAAGGAAGTGTGCCTCTATAAGGGCTCTATCAAGATCAACATACATTACGTTCCCAAAGCGACCGCACACGCCATCCGCCCAAAATGTCGACCAGTACGGCTCTACTGATTCCTTTGCTAAGCAAATTATGAAGCGAAGGGATTGGTGTGAAGCGACCGTGATGCTGCATGGATATATCAGTATGCACATGCAGCCGTACCTTCGGTAGCGGTTATTAGCAAGATCCCAACGAGAAAACTCGTCGCAAAATGGATTTATAACACAAATTGAGAACGGAGGCTCTTTCTTCGCAGGATTTTGACCGTTTCACTCCGTTCTTTCGCCATTTCCCAACTATATAGCGCCCTACTAGCATTTTAGGCCGAGCACCAAATCACCGTGCCGACTGCCTTCAATATAAGCAAGATGGAATAGGGGGGAGCGTTTGAAGCACACACGATAATTCAGCTCGGATGACGTTAATCCTGGCAGTCTAACTCTTGTCAAGGTTACCAGAGCCCCGAGAGCTAGCATTAGCAAAATGCTTGAGTTTGCGCTGAAGCATCTGATCCTTATCCTAAACCATAGAGTAATTTTGCGTACTCATCAGTTGCAAGGACTTGAGAGTGCGTTCGCGGGCCACACATTGCATGGACCCGTGCTCTTCCCCGCAACAGACTGAAAGCACACAATTTTTTCTTAACCTTTTCTGCGGCGCTACCTTCACTACCAGCACCTACCCTTCACCACCTTCGCTACCAGCAGAGCATCGCAGTGGCATTTAAAAAGTGGTTTATTCGGTGCAATAGCTAGCGGGAGCCCATGTGGGTCTATTTCCCAGCCTCCTTTGTAAGACAGTCCTTCCAGAAGTAATTGAGGGATGGAAGGGATGGAATATTTCTGAGCCGGTCGACTCGTGGGTCATGCGAGGCGACGCTACTCCGCCTATAACCACAACGAATGGAATGATATGCAGGAATGGAAAAGACGAAATTCTAGGGAAACTTTCTAGTTCCTCCTATCCTGACTCTTTTATCCTAGTAGCATTTGAATCATAATGTTATCACACTGTGAAGATTATTAAAAATGACTAACAGTTTCATTACGGCGCCAATATTATTCAAATGATGTATCTGTTTTCCATGATTCCTTTCTCATAGCGGGTCATTTTGCAACTACTGAAAGTAGTCATCTAAATAGGGAGCAATTACAAGATTACCACATACTTAGGCTGAGGTGGTGTACTGGCGAGGCCGCATACCAGGAGGGTGGTCCAAGAATCATCCCTAAGCGAGTTCCATGCAGCCCAGCCGAGCTCTTCTTTGTTCAGGGTTGGTCTAATGGCGAGGGAAATGCAACGGATCCGACCAAAGTCGGGTGGCTGTAGAATTTGTCTTTACATGTTTTCAGCTGACTGTATCCGACTATTTAATTTTCATGGAAAACAGCGAGCTGACACCTTGCCATAACCTTGGTGTAGGGGTCCGATGCATGGCTCATCAAGAAAATCTGCTAATGCTCTGCGAACTGATTACTATTTATCTCAACGATGGCAGGCGCTCGGGAGCTCCACACCTCCAAAGTAGAGCCTTTCTCTCTTTCTTAATGGAGGTCGCACAACATCGCAGAGTCTGTATTTTTTCGCTAGATGTGATTGCGACAAAGTCGGGCAAAGCATACCCACAGTTATTAGACGTAGGATCCGAGAGCTGTTGGCCGATATTGTGAGTGTGGCGTGAAGAGAACTACTATGGCGAAATCCTGTGTTATGCAGACATCAAATGTTGTGATCAACAAAGAGGTCAAAACTTCGGAGTGCTTGAAGCAGATATGAAGGTTTATTTGGCCCCGGCTTGAGCGAATAGGTGAGAGTGCAATCCTTCTCGAAAGTCATCCACAGGGCTCAATAAGGAGCAGAGAGGGGCCCCTGATGGTCGAACTGGTACGTAAAACTACTTTCCAAGTGTTTAGCATACGTTTCAAGAAAAAGCAAAACTGCCCAAGGACCCGAACCTTTGTCCCACCGCTATGATCCCGCTCACCTACCTGCTGCGCCATCGAGCCCCTGCCTATACTCTAAGGGTTTCACAGGCTCAGAGTATAGGC